GGTCTGCCAGCTCTATAGGCGTGGATTTTTAAAGAATATTTTTCAAAGGTCTGCCAGCTCTATAGGCGTGGATTTTTAAAGAATATTTTTCAAAGGTCTGCCAGCTCTATAGGCGTGGATTTTTATTTCAAAGGTTGGGCAGTCCAAGGACTATCAAAGGCGTGGATTTTTAAAGAATATTTTTTTTTTACTATTACAAGCGTGGACTCTATTAAGATCAGCTGTAGGGTATAGCGCCGTATCCACGCCAAAAAGAATGGCCACAACCCAAACGAAAATGGAATTGCAACGCAAAAAGAAGATGTACAAAATTGCATGGGTGGGCTGATCAATTTTTGACAATTGCATTTTTGTGGCAGCTAAGACAAGCGCTGGACGACGATACATACACACGTTACAACTGAGCGGCTGGAGAATAAAACAAAAAAACAAGGATGGGAATATTTCTTTCTGTGGCCAGCCGGACGATCGGTCGTTTCTTTCGGAACGATAAAATATGTTTAACGTGTCCTTAGGGATTGTTCGATTGTAGGTTGTTGTGTTACATGACATGGTTGACTGTCCGGTGGTTGCGTTCTCGTGTTTTTTTTTTTTTTTTCTTTGACTGTGGCACCATAACTCAGAGGGGTTTCCTGTAACTTTTGCATTTGTTTTAAGATTTTGGAGGTCCAAGTCACAGCAAACAGTCATTCATCCATGTTGTTTCTGATTTTTTTCTCAAACTTTTCTTGGCTGATGAAAGTGAAATTATTTCTACCTTTTGAGTTGCTTCTTGTCCGGGGCTGTTATGTTATAACAAGAAAGTAAAGAAGGAAGAAGGCAACGATGATGATGTTGTAGAAAGAAAGATCGATGTTCCCGAGATTTGGCAATGATGGTGGCTGTGGCGGCATCGGCTTCTTTTTGTATTTTTGTTTTTAATTTAAAATTGTAACTTCGAAAATGAGAATCATTTTTTATTTTTCTTCTGCTGAGTTTTTTTGTTCAAAATTTTTGCTTGATTTATACAGCATTCAAGACGTAACATTGTTGGTACATTTGCCAAAGCAAATGTCTTTTGATGTTGTTGGATTTTTTGTCTGTTTGTTTGTCTGTTCACCCGTTGACAGTTAATTTAAATTTATGTTGTGGTTTTAAAAAAATCATAAATTTTCCCACCAAATACCCACTTCTGATTTTTTGTTTTATTTCTTTTTTCATTCGAAGATTCATTCGTTTGTCCATTTGTTACGCTGCGCGAATATTTATTTTAACGATTTGCAATGAAAGCCAAAAATTTGTCACTGTGTAAACGGAATATTTATGTCTTTATTGTTTTTTTGGGTAATTGCATTTAACGTCAACAGTAGAGATAGATAAACACACAAAACAAAAGACTTAAGACACAAACAGAGGGCTATTAAAGTTAATTGGTGTTTAATGTCTATATATTTGACAAAAATAGATAAATAAATTATCTGATGTTTAAAAATTATAAGAAATTTGTTATTTACTTTTTGTCATTTAGTAGTGGGAACAAAAATTATGAAATAATCTAAATTTTAAAGGATATTTTTAAAGAACAGACTCGAAAGAAATATTTTTTTCAGTCAAATCTATAAGCGTGGACATATTGAAAATATTTTTCCAAGGACTATTATATCAATAATATATATTTATATTATTTTTAAAGGACTTTCAGATCTATAAGCGTGAATTTTTAAAAATATTTTCAAATAATATTTTTCAAAATACTGTTACGTCTATTAAATAAAATTTTGAAAGTTCCAGCATCTCTCAAAGAGTCAATTTTCTAATATATAACAAATAGGTCTATCAGGCCTATAAGCGTGGATTTTTTTACAACATTTTAATAGGCCTATCAGGTCAACATTAATCCTAATTTGTTAGCAATATTGTATAGAAGACAAGCCTGTCTTTTTAAATATATTTTAAGGCGATCAGCAATTTTATTTGCGTGGTGTTTTTAGAAATATTTTTCTGAGGACTAACAGCTCTATACGTGTGGTTATTTTAAGAATATTTCTCAGACGAATACTCCGGATTGTTTAATATGTGTTCGGAGGACTAGCCGCTCGTTAAATATACATTTCGGAGGACTCTGTGTGTATTTTAAAAAATATATTTTTCTGAGAAGAAGCCGTTCAATGTTTGTATTTTTTTATGAATATTTTTCCAAGGATTAGCAGTTTGATTAATTTGCATTTTTGGAACATATTTATATGAAAACCGAATTTTTTATAAATATTTTTTTTAGATATAGTTTAGAGATTAGTATAAGGATAATTGAAAAATCTTATTTTTTAACAATATTTTTCAAAGTACTAGCCTGGATTTTTAAAATAAATTTTTTAGAGAACCAGCAATTCTATATGAGTTGTTTTTTAATAACATTCTTCGGAGGACTAGCCACTCTATATGCCTGGATATTTCAAAAAATTTTCTTTGAAGACTGCACTGGATTTTTTATATGTTATGAACAATATGAAGGGTGAGAGAAAAAAACTGCAAAAAAGTCAAACGCCATATTTTTTTACATTTTTTTAATTTTATTGAATGGAAACAAAAAACCATTCTTGGTGGCGCGTGCTGAGTCCTGTTGGAATGCCCAAGGTCAGCGGCCAATATGTTTGCGTACTCCAGAATATTTTCGCGATAATATTCGGCTTTTATTCTGATGACACGGTCGATTAGTACCAGCGGAGAGTGACCATCGGCTCTTATGGCGGCCCACACCATCAATGGCCGGCACTTGAGTTCTGGTGGCCAACCAAAGGTGCTGACATCTTTGGCAAGTAAACACGATCATTTTGTTTGTTTCCTGCTGGACAAGGAATGTTATCACACCGGAGCAAACCAAATTCTGGAAAATTCTCACCAAAATGCTTTTGTACGCTTGTAAACAATATAATGAGCTGTCACTGGAATAATTTTAACAGCTGTCGGACGAGTGACTTAGAAGTGACAGCAGTCTGAAACTGGTTGCAGTTTTTTCACCTCACCCTGTACATAAGGCAGTCAAGGCCTGTTGTGGAAAAATATATTAGGATAGTGTTGGTTTCTCAATATGCCATATTTGGCATATGTTTCTAAACAGTCCTACGAATATCTTAATTATTCGATTTTAGTATAGTCCCTATATAAATATTCCTAGAACTTGCGACATCTGAGGATTTTTGACTCGGGTTTCAACCGAGTAGGCTATAATTTGATATGTCAGTTCACAAATATCGTTCGACCTCCTCGTATAGGTATTTTAATGGTCCAAGGCGTATTTTCTAACTGACTAAAGCGACTATATTTTGGCCCTGTTATTGGGCATTTCAGGACCTTGATGGATACGAATGTTCTGCACAAAACTTTTTTCAATATATTTTTCTACATGGCATCTAAACAAAGGTTACGCTTAATTTTTGGGTATGTTCAAGCTCCTGACTTTATTTTTGATATTATTTCTCCCGACATGAATTTACCATAGCATAGTTCCGATCAATTTTAAGTATTTTGAATGTTGACCTTGTGGTGGAGATGTTTCAGTTTAAATAAAATATTTTTTTTTAATTTTTGAAGAATGTATTTATAAACATGTATATAAAGGTATCCGTCGGAGCCATAAATATGGGTTTCAAAAGTTTTTTATTATTATCGATTTTTAATATAAAATTTGTTTAAAGTCTAATAGACCCACTTGCGACTTTAATAAATATTTTCCCGGAAACTAATAGACACAAAGAAGATATTTTTAAGGACTAGCTTTTTGTGAGTGTTAATTATACTGCGAATAGTTGCACTAAATCGATCGTTTGTATAAAAAGTAAAAATATTACGATATACCATCAATAGATCAAATCGGATACTCCATTCACTTCATATACAATTTACAAGTTTTCATAGCCTGAATACCTGTTAAATACCAAAGTTTTCAAAATGTTGAGCCTCTGTGGGAGAGATACGCCTTATGGGAGAGTTACAAAGATTATACAGACTTATCTGGTAAAGATATTACGATGAGCACAGTATGAATGAAAGAGGTTGCTTCATTGGGAGTTATCGTGTGCAGCAATCGGACGGAGTACATTTGTAAATCTACTTCGAAAAGTCTGAAACGAATTTGGTTCAATGATACTTGCAGTCTAAATACAATATTTCAATGGGACTCCTTTATTCATCACACCGTAAATATACCCGCATTCGACCTACGACTAAGGGTATAAAAGCCACGCATTTAGGGAAAATATTCCATGGAAATATATCCTTAACCAATTCCCTGAAAATATATCCTTTATATAAATAAAAAAAAATCAAAACTAATAGTTGAACATTTTCTTAGGAAAATATTCTCAAAAAATCCACGATAATAGCTCAAATCTCTCTTAAAAATATAACTTTAAAAATTACGTTTTTTTTTAAATCCACCAAAAATGTATTATTTTTGATATTTTTCCCCCAACATCAAAAGTCCTTCAATGTAATAGCCCTTGGGAAAATATTATTTGAAATTTTCATGCTTCTGAATCTAATAGTCCTTAAAAAATTCCACCACTAAATGAATGAAATGAAAAAACTATTTCTAGTATATTTCAAACCCAACTTTGGCTACTTTAAATATTCATTTATCAATAAAAAAAATAAAACATTATTCCAATTTTTTTTCTATACAATTTGTCTAATTTGGCAATTCCATTTTTTGATTTAACAATTTCGTTTGTAAACTAATTTAATATTGTTTTCAATTTTTTGTTTGCTTCTTTCGTTTTTGTTTGTCTATTAACAATCCAGATCCCCTGACAGCAATGATTACCGATCGCAACAAATTGAATTTTGTTACGATACAATGGTTGTGGCTTTTGTGTCTGATTTTGGTGTTCAGTGGCGGCATAACAACAACTCTGGGCCATAATGTCGGTGGTACTGGTGAGACCACACAACAGAAGCAACAGCTACAGCAGACACAAAATCAGGCCGATACAGTGCAACAACAGCAACAGTCAATGTTGTCAATGCAACAGCAGCAGCAACAACAACAGCAATCCAACATACAACTAGTAGAGAGCAATGGACCATCGTCTCAACAGCAACAACAACAAGATGTAACAGGTATGAATTGACAACGATGTTGATCGCATATCGTCGGACAAACACAGACATACAATCATAACACATATAAACAATGAATATAAAAAATAAATAACAGCAAAAAAAAAAATTAAATAATCATTACAAATGCAGAGCACCAACATTGTCAAAAAATATGTTTTTATGACAGTCAAATTGTTTGAAATTGGTGGTGGTAGTCTCTCTCGAAATGACGATGATGATTATTGCCAAATCAGTGACCAATCAAACAGAAAAAAATCAATAAAAAAATTGCCAATATTATTGTTAGTGTCAAATCAATATCAATCAAATTCGATAATGGCAATAACAACAAAAATTGATTTGATTTTTTTGTTTGTTTTTTGAAGGAGTATTGAAAATATAAAACTAATATTTATTGTTCGGTAAGATTGACAAACCACAACGTGCTTGAAATACATATTTATAATTGTGCCAAATTTGTTCGAAAATACTTTCACTAATATTCTACATGATTGTGGGAATTTACTTGTGGAATTTCAAAACAATAATGTTCACACGATAAATAAACTAAATAAATAATAAATAAATTTGTCCTTTTCGTATACCGATCGTCATATTTCGACTAGCTGATTTGATCTAGGCATGTGTGTCCGTCTGTCCATTATAAATTGTAAACACAATACAAGTCACAGTTATGAACCAAACGTCATGAAATTATGCATGTAGGTTAGGTTCGGACGAAAGAGGACCTCTATTTTTGAATTGACCCGTTAATATTAGGGAATGAAATGGAGAAGAAACTTTGTTTTTGTTTATTTTTCTGATTGCTTCAGAGGCCACAATTATATCCCAAAAATCACGGATTTTTACACGGAGAAATGGATCTGATCAAGGAATAAGCATGGTTCTTTTTGTGGCAATCCGACAATATTTAGCGGTTTAAATGGACCCAGACTTTTGTGTGAAAAATAGTAACAATTTCATTCTATGACGTATATACTTATTCCTGAAGGACATACTGGACTGGAGAACTTAAATTGATACCAAGTATATTATTGTATGTAACCGGATGTGGGTGTTACACTAATATAATTACAGGTGTCTATGTATTTCGATTTGGTTACCACACTAGAGAAGCGAAAATGTCGTGCGGATTGCTATGACATTTTTCAGGAAGTTTACGTTATAGTCACGGACGACACTTAAAAATTTCGGTGATGATCAGAGGATAGTTAGGGCATGGAAAGGACCGAAAACTTTATTTCTGTGTGGTTTACTAATGCTATTGTAACCCGAACATTACAAATTTTATTCGGGGTAGGGATTTGGTTAACCATTTAGAATGGCTATATGCCAGGGTGAGAAAGAGGAGCTGTTGATCTCTAATCGATTAAGAGGGTGCAAATATCGGGAAATATCACCAAGGCTCGGAATATAGATCAGCAGAAAATTAGGGTTGCGTAGTGTATCATATGGTCGGCCCCATCCGACTGTACTGATCCGTTCACTGGTTTAACATAGTCTTTCAAAGGGATATCCTTATGACTAACGAGTATTATGACATTTTTCTCAAAAAGAATGACCAAAAAAGTTTTTTTCATTAAATTGCTTAAAAAGCTCACCCAAAATACACGTTTAAATTATGTTTTAGTGAAAAAAGTACAGGCCGCATTTATTAATTTTTAATCAAATGCTCAACAATATTTTAACCGGTTTTTGCAATGGTGTGATTTTACAAAAACGATCCAAATACAACGACACATAATCGCCAGATTCTTAGGGGAAATCCGGAAATCAATTCTGAGTGGCATACTAACATTTGTTTACCAAAAACTTTAAATTGATAGGTCATCCGCCGTACAATCCTGATTTGGCAACTAATAAGCTATCCCATAAAATATCGCTGGCTCAACATGTAAAGGCAGTAATTCCACATTTTACAATTTTACTGGAAAGACAAAAAGCCTTCACTCATCACTACAAAACAACAACAACATTTATTTTTGTGAACAAAGTACAGGCCGCATTTATGATCCGATTTGGATGAAATTTGGCACAAGTCACTTATTTGGCCCAATGACGAACCCTATTGAAATTGGAGAAAATCAGTTCCTTGTCCGATTGAAACAAAATTTTGCACAGCGTACTTTCATTGGTCCAGTTTAATGTCTTTGAAGTTTTGTTGAAGTCTGTTAAGATTTAGATATAGCTCCCATATATAGTTTCGTCCGATTTTGTGTAAATGGTGCACCAAACTCCCAATATATTTTCGCATGAGACAAAATTTTGCACAATGTGCTGAATTAGGTACAGTTCGAGCCTATGCTTGGTGAGAATTTTCCAGAAAACAGTTATTCCTGGGGGAATTCAAGCGTGATAGAGTGGTTTCTTTATATTGGCTGGTTAACCACAGTGGCTATCGTTAGAGCACTCCAGCATTTAAATGTGAATAAATCTGTTGTGTTTCGTACCACCGCTCATTACCGTGATACTGGTAACGTAGCCCGACGTCAAGGAAGTGGACGAAAAAAAACAGCAACATCAGCAGAAATGGTTCGAAAAGTAAAGAAGCGACTTGATCGAAAAACGAGTCGCATTGGCCGAAAAATGGGTCGTGAGCTAAACATATCGCAATATTCCATTCGGCAAATATTGAAAAACCCATTGGGGTTTTTGAGAGAAAAATTCTCCGAAAGATCTACGGGCCGATCTGCGTCGACGGTGAATATCGGCGTCGAATGAACCACGAGCTTTACAATTTATACATGGACATCGACATAGTCAGTCGTATTGAGCTGCTGCGACTACGGTGGCTAGGCCATGTTGTGCGGATGAAAATGCCCCAGCTCAAAAGGCATATAAAAACGAGCCTGCTGATGGTTCCCGTAGAAGGGGAAGGCCACGAATTAGATGGAAAGACCAAGTAGAAAACAACATCTTGGAACGTGGTCGTCCAAATTGGTGGATTTGCGCACAAGACCGACGCGCTTGGAAATCTTTTTTAAGCTCGGCTTATGGAACAACCATTCGGTAACAAGCCAGCTAAGTAAGTAAGTAAAGCCATTGAAATTCCAAAAAGTGCAAGAACTTACACCGCGAAAGAAAATTAACTCAAAAGAAGTAAAGAGTAGCTTCGTTTGACCGAAAGTGGCAATTTTAAACAAACAAAATGATCGTGTTTACTTGCCAAAGAGGTCAGCTGAAAATGTGCACCTTCGGTTGGCCACCAGAACTCATGCGCCGGCCATGGTGATGATGTGGGCCGCCATAACAGCCGATGGTTACTATCCTCTCGTATTAATCAACCGTGTCATCAGAATAAATGCCGAATATTATGGCGTAAATATTCTGGAGGGTGCATTAAAGCCTTGGGCACGCAAACCTTTTGGCAGTAGACCTTGGACATTCCAACAGGACTTAGCCACATGGCACTCAGCACGCGCCACCCAAGAATGGTTACAAAATGAGGTTCCTCGCTTCATTTCCAGCACACAATGGCCACCAAAATCTCCGGATACCAATCCGTTGGACTATTGTGTCTGGAGTATTTTGGAAAGCAAAGTTGGTACTAAAAAATACCAAAGTATCGATCACCTCAAGCAAGCGCTTCGCCGGGAATGGGCCAAAATACCGCAGAGCAACATTCGTAGAGATGGGCAGTGGGTAAATACCCAAAGGGTAAATACCCGGTAAATTGGGTAAATACCCATTTGCGGGTATTTACTATATTGACTCGGTAATACAACATCTTACACCTTATCTCCGGGTTTCTGTTATCAAATCGATTTAGAATGGATAGTTTTACGATACTTTAAAGACGTGGGTAAATATTTGGGTAAATACCCGAGTTTTTACCCAAAAATTGGGTAACTGCCGAACCACTTGACGTAGGCGGCCAAAATTTTGCACACATGTTTCTAATGTCAAAGCAAATATAGAAATCCAACATGGGATCCCTGGGTCCGATTTTTCTTTGACATTAGAAACATGTGTGCAAAATTTTGGCCGCCTACGTCAAGTGGTTCGGCAGTTACCCAATTTTTGGGTAAAAACTCAAAATAGGGGTACCTGTGTATGGGGGCTATCAGTAAACGTGGACCTACATACATAAAATTTTGTATGGACATTTGGTACCCAAAAAGAACACTCTGTGCCAAATTGCAGCCAATTTGGTTGTAAAATGTGTCTAATAGACAAAAAAATACCTTAAATCGGGAGATACTGTTACGGTGTGAGACGGTTTCATTGGCCGTTTGAAGGCCATAATTCGTGCCAAAGGTGACCAATTCGAACAAATCTAAACTTATTCTAAAATTTGATGATATTTCCGACATTTTTTGCTTTCATTCAGGAAAATTAAAGTAAAAAATGTAAAAATGATGGCGTTTGACTTTTTTGTTGTTTTTTTTTATCTCAGACTGTATATTTAATTCTAAAACCGATTTTTGCCTCTTTAATTCACATCACTCTAAACTCACCTGTTCCAAATTTCGTATAAATCGAGCAAACATAAGATCTTCGGTGCACAATTTACATATAATCTACATCTGAACCGATTTCAATCTGGACCTACACTGCGCAAAATGTTGTGTCAATCGAATAAATATTGGGAGTTTGATGAACCTTTTACCTAAAATCGGACGAAACTATATACGTGAGCTATATCTAAATCTGAACTTCACAGACATCAAACTAGACTTAATTCAGTACGCTGTGCAAAATGTTTTCTCAATCGGACAACCCCTGGGAGTTCGGTGCACCATTTACATAACATCGGACGAAACTATATATGGGAGCTATATCTCAATCTGAGACCGATTTTCAACAAAAACTTCACTGACAAAAAAACTGGTCCTAATTCAGTACGCTGCCAAAATGTTGTCTCAATCGGACAAATATTGGGAGTGTGGTGCACCATTTACATCTATCTGAACCGGGTTGCTTCAATTTCAATAGGGTTCTTCTTTAGGCCCAATAAGTGAATTGTGCCAAATTTAATCCAAATCGGATCATAAATGCAACCTGTACTTTGTTTACAAGAATACATGGACGGACGGACAGACGGACATGCATAAATCGACTCAGAAAGTGATTCTATACATATTCTCAAAAGGAACCCTCTGTCTATCTCGTTTCCTTTTGTCTGTTACAAACATAGGTACAAATACATAATACCCTGTACCACAGTGTGGTGAAGGGTTTAACTATCCAATTCGTATACGTTTTCACGCATAAAAAAAAAATTAAACATTAAGCGATTATTAATATTTTGTCCACAATCTTTGCTATTTTTTACACTTTTAATATAGTTTGGCATATTCTCATCTTCATCTTCATCTTGATGGACTCTGGCAAAGCAATCCATGTTAGTTGGTGCTCTTCCATAAACTGTTAGTTTCCCTTTTAAAAGCGATAGGATTAAGACACGGGGTTTGTGCTGGCCATTTGAACAATTCATATTTTTGGTTAGACAGCAAATTCCTAATAATTTTCGAGGTTTAGGATGTTTGTTTAGGACCTTGATAAAATCGGAACTCCACCTCGGGGTATACACTTTCCTCCACGTTTTCTAAGAAATTAGTTAGGAAAATATTTAGATAATCTTCTAACCGTCATTATACGATCTATCTAGACCCCAAACCCTCAAATGTCCCCCGCAATGTTTTTCAGTTTGCTCTACTTGATGTAGCTGAAGATTTTCATGTGAGCGGTGTCAATATATTCGTTGGAACGGGAACATTTTTTATGAGACCAAATCAGATTTTCAATTTTCCCGTATTTCTTTAATAGGGCTGGTTAATTTTTCTTGACTGCCAATTCTACCTAGGATTCTACTAACAGTTCAATCGCTAATGTATTTATGTATCGCCTTGGCAACTAATTTTGTTTCAATCCTCCTTTTTCACACTTACCCGATCCCTGATCAGAAATTAGTCTGTTATATTTACCATTAGTATATTTCATTATATCCAACACGTTAATAACATTGATTTGCGGCATACCGATCGGATCCCTAAATTTTTGAACCGGATTTCCTGATAATTTTTGTCGTTTTAAATTTGTGGAATTTAAACTTCTGGGTTTTTAACATACTCGTCAAGGTATTATTTAATCCCCAAATAGATTTTCTACTCTTGCTGCGTAGTGTAATAGTTTATGAAATAATAATAATTTTATTCAGAGGTCATTGACCTTTTTAATTTCATATTCCTTTAATTATAGTCAAATACACAGTCTCATGTATTTGCCACTAATATAATAGGCGGATATAATTAAATATTATTTTTTCCAAAAAATATATTTTTTTATAAATTCCATACATGACAAAAATACCTGTACTGCTTATTTTTTGGACTTCACCAAAAAAAATATTCAATTTCAATAATTATTATTTCATTTTTGTTTTTCAAAATGCAATTCCTCACAGTAGTCGCATTTATTTAACCACCATCTGTCGTCATTATCCCAAAATGACAACGATAAAATGTTTTGGAAAAAATGTTAATGATAATTGCAAATTATTTTTTCCAGTTTTGCAGTAGCAACAACAACGACAACAAACTGCTGCAGTTTGGCGTAATCTCAAGAAGAAAAACAAAACAAACAAATAATTTTAATGCAATCGAAAACTATTAGAGGCATGTTTATAAAAATTAAAAAAAAAACGAATAAACATTTTTGTGGTTGATCGGTTAAGCTGAAAAAATTATCTACTTTAAATCGAAGAAAGTTGTTAGACAAATTTCTTTTCTTTCTATTTTGGTTTGGTTTGTAATGAATCACAATTATGCAAGGATCTCAGCTTAATGTAACACTTGTTTGAGTGGTAGATTTTTTGGTAACATGTGGTGAACCACCTTTAAAATAAGAGGCATAAAATATTGCACTAAGAAACGTAAAACTTCAAAAAAAATTAAAATCAAATTTCCAATTCTTTTTAAGAAAAATATATTTTTAATGCTGATGGTGCTTGAAAAAATATTTTTTAAAAAAATCCAGGCCTAAGGCTCTGATAGTGCTTGAAAAAATATTTTTTAAAAAAATCCACGCCTAAGGCTCTGATGGTGCTTGAAAAAATATTTTTTAAAAAAATCCACGCCTAAGGCTCTGATGGTGCTTGAAAAAATATTTTTTTAAAAAAATCCACGCCTAAGGCTCTGATGGTGCTTGAAAAAATATTTTTTAAAACAATCCACGCCTAAGGCTCTGATGGTGCTTGAAAAAATATTTTTTAAAAAAATCCACGCCTAAGGCTCTGATGGTGCTTGAAAAAATATTTTTTAAAAAAATCCACGCCTAAGGCTCTAATGGTGCTTGAAAAAATATTTTTTAAAAAAATCCACGCCTAAGGCTCTGATGGTGCTTGAAAAAATATTTTTTAAAAAAATCCACGCCTAAGGCTCTGATGGTGCTTGAAAAAATATTTTTTAAAAAAATCCACGCCTAAGGCTCTGATGGTGCTTGAAAAAATATTTTTTAAAAAAATCCACGCCTAAGGCTCTGATGGTGCTTGAAAAAATATTTTTTAAAAAAATCCACGCCTAAGGCTCTGATGGTGCTTGAAAAAATATTTTTTAAAAAAATCCACGCCTAAGGCTCTGATGGTGCTTGAAAAAATATTTTTTAAAAAAATCCACGCCTAAGGCTCTGATGGTGCTTGAAAAAATATTTTTTAAAAAAATCCACGCCTAAGGCTCTAATGGTGCTTGAAAAAATATTTTTTAAAAAAATCCACGCCTAAGGCTCTGATGGTGCTTGAAAAAATATTTTTTAAAAAAATCCACGCCTAAGGCTCTGATGGTGCTTGAAAAAATATTTTTTAAAAAAATCCACGCCTAAGGCTCTGATGGTGCTTGAAAAAATATTTTTTTAAAAAAATCCACGCCTAAGGCTCTGATGGTGCTTGAAAAAATATTCTTTAAAAAATCCACGCCTAAGGCTCTGATGGTGCTTGAAAAAATATTCTTTAAAAAATCCAAGCCTAAGGCTCTGATGGTGCTTGAAAAAATATTCTTTAAAAAATCCACGCCTAAGGCTCTGATGGTGCTTGAAAAAATATTCTTTAAAAAATCCACGCCTAAGGCTCTGATGGTGCTTGAAAAAATATTCTTTAAAAAATCCACGCCTAAGGCTCTGATGGTGCTTGAAAAAATATTCTTTAAAAAATCCACGCCTAAGGCTCTGATGGTGCTTGAAAAAAGTATTCTTTAAAAAATCCACGCCTAAGGCTCTGATGGTGCTTGAAAAAAGTATTCTTTAAAAAATCCACGCCTAAGGCTCTGATGGTGCTTGAAAAAATATTCTTTAAAAAATCCACGCCTAAGGCTCTGATGGTGCTTGAAAAAAGTATTCTTTAAAAAATCCACGCCTAAGGCTCTGATGGTGCTTGAAAAAAGTATTCTTTAAAAAATCCACGCCTAAGGCTCTGATGGTGCTTGAAAAAAGTATTCTTTAAAAAATCCACGCCTAAGGCTCTGATGGTGCTTGAAAAAAGTATTCTTTAAAAAATCCAAGCCTAAGGCTCTGATGGTGCTTGGAAAAAGTATTCTTTAAAAAATCCACGCCTAAGGCTCTGATGGTGCTTGAAAAAAGTATTCTTTAAAAAATCCACGCCTAAGGCTCTGATGGTGCTTGAAAAAAGTATTCTTTAAAAAATCCACGCCTAAGGCTCTGATGGTGCTTGAAAAAAGTATTCTTTAAAAAATCCACGCCTAAGGCTCTGATGGTGCTTGAAAAATATTCTTTAAAATAAATATAATAACCCTGGAAAAATATTCTTAAAAATTCCACGCTCATGGGTCTCAAGACTTGCGAAAAAATATTCTTCAAAAAATATTCTTTAAGCCTCTGAGGGTCCTTGAAAAAATGTTCTTTAAAAAGAGCAATGTCTTTGAAAAAAAAACCTTTTTTAAAAAATCGAAGCTTATGGGTCTGAAGGTTCTTGAAAAAAATATTCTTTAACCCACCCACTATTACAGATTTTTTTTGAAAAGTTTCGCAGATATTTCAACAAAACCATTTTTTATATGTTTATGTGGCATGAACTCTATCTGGAATATCCACAAAAGTATCTCCTTACCAAAAAAAAACTCGCAAAAATGATAATGATGACAATTACAACTGTCATTATATTCATAGATATTACATACTTACCTGCGAGTACATGCCAAAAGCCTAGGTGGACTATTTCGAAAAGACACAAGACATTGTTAATGTGTGGGTATACGTGACCATTGTCACTGGACATCATAACTGTCATCAAGTCTCACTCTCATACAATTATGCGGCGGCAGCAGTCAGTGGACCCCTAACCACGACCACCACCAATATTAGCTCAAGCCGATGTCATTCGTCTGGACTACTGGACTTACTTGTCA